CGCGTCCTCTCGGCACAACCACGGCTGGACTCTGCATGCTGCAACGCATGCCATATGGTCAAATGTTTTTTGAGAAAGTCAAGAGCGCCTGCAGGGGTAATAACAATCTGTAACACACGTGGAACCAAGGTCGCACGTGTATTTGCACTTGGGCCGCTCGCGGTTGCACATCCCTGGGTAAATGGTCCATGCATGAATGAAGTCTCTGATGTCTTTGGGCACCTCTCACATCTTATCAGCTTGAAACGGTACTCCAGCCTACTGTCTTTGGAAGTACATATATGGCGGACGGTCACTAGACAGCTCTCAGCTTTCTAGGCCCTCACAGTGTCAAGGACAATCCGTACGACCCTCGTCTCATCTCGAGAGCAGGCCGGACATCGGAGCAGGCCGTGATTACTGATCAAAACTGTTGACTCGTCTCCCTCAAGCCAGGTTGAAAACAAACATCAAGCAGAAAATTACTCGGTAGCCACTCTAGAAATTCTACTTTTTAGCAAGCTGCTGCCTACTACCAACCAGACTGCTTGTTATTACAATCTTAGAGCCTGGATTGCCCTAAAAAAGAAAAATCATGTCGCTGCAGCAGAGCCAAGTGACACACATCTATACAGATGGAATTCAAGGAGACACTGTCTCATTTCCCACCAATTCTCATCACCTGTACCACCCTTGGCATCTCATTTCCATCCCCTCAATCAAACTTAACATCATTTCCATTCACATTTAAACATACACTCATGAATCTACAAAAGACTATCCTGGGTGTGCAGAGAAAGCACAGATGTGTATTGTGTGTGTGGAGAAGATGCTCTCCCAAGCATTGTGTGGAAGGAAGCTGTATTGTTATCATGATCACTTAACCAAGGCTTGCAAGATCCAGCCTGTTATAAAGAAACTCATAGATCAGAACGAAAGGGTTGAACAAAATACAGTCGAATCTCGGTAATATGAGCTCAGGTAAGACGAGACTCCGGTTAAGACGAGTGTATTTGCCGGTCCCAACTGAATTAGGCACATTCCTATGAGAAAAAAAATCCATAATACGAACTCGCGTGTTACGAGCATTTCAGGGGCCCCAGCTGCATGCAAAAGTATTGTTATACGTCTAATTAGCACAAGCATTTTTGAAAGCAACTTGTCAATCAGTCAATCCATTGAATTCGTAAAGGCGCTTCTGTAATTGATTGTGTACAGCAGTAAAGCGCTGCAGTTTTCACTCAATTTTTCACCGAACCCACACATCGTTTCAAATTAAAACGTACAATACTCAATAATTTATTCGCCCTCTACTGGCCCATCCACACCACCAATAACTGGTTCCCGCCCTTTTTATGCGACAAGCGCAGCACCGATGTTGGTTACTACCTAAAATGTTAATGTACTTACATGTGTGCGTTGTATGACGATTTCATCATGGTGTGCTGGGGACGTAAAATGGCATCGGTCCAACCATGCATCCTCCAACTCGACTTGACCGGTTTCTCCGTTCTTGTAGTATGTTATTGTTCTTTATTTCAAGTCTTTGTTCATAAAAAGTACAGTTACATCTCACTTTCATAAACATAAACTGTTTTGAAATAAAATTCCAAACCACGCGTACGTGCATACAAAGTACATGTAGGCCTACATGTACGTACAGGAAGTTGTCCATGATGTACGCTGAACGATGCGGTTGATCAGTTACACATGCGACAAGTGGGACAGCAGCTTTCACGTGATACGAGGTCCTGATAATACGAGCTAATTTAGAAAGTCCCAAGGCCCTCGTATTAACGAGAGTTGACTATAAAATGGAAAGAAAACACATTTATTTATACTGTGGAGTACAACAGTCATAAAACAAGGAAAGTGTGGCCTTACTCTGACGAGGACACCATCATCAAAGAGCTGTCAAACACATAGTCCAAGAGGCAGAGAAAGGGATGAGACATCTCGTTAAAGCAAATCATCTTACATATGTTGAATGGGTGACTGTGTTCTGTCAGATAGCCTGTCTTGCACATGTCCCCCCACAAATTCCTGGTGCCCCCCAGGTGCCCTTCCCCCCTGAAAAAACGGGGGAATGGATATTGAATGAGGCTAACGACACAAGGCCCCTAAAAAAATACCACTGAAAGCTTGTGCTCCCCCATAAGATGCTGGTGCCCCTTTGTCCCCCCCCCACCAGTAAAGTCCTCGCTATACCACTGTGTGGGAAACGGAGACGCAGAGAGATCTGCAATGCTATGGTAGATGGGTTCTGGTGACGCTGGGTAGAATGCATCCACAAGCTATCACCATGATGCCAGAAGTGGCAACAGTCAGCTGAAAATGTACAGGTGGGTGACATTGTGCTTGCTATTGGTGAGGACGAGAAATGCAGTTCTTGCAAAATGGTGGAAGTTGTGAACACCTACCTAGGGAATGATGATCTTGTGAGAATCATTGACAACAGGTTTGCCGATGATACTAAGGTGAAGAGGCCGGTGATCCTTCTCATGAAAACATCAGAACTATCACACACTGAAGAACAGTAACTATGTTGTGAGTATTTTGCCATTCCATCACCTTTGAGGGATGGGATTGGGTGCGTATCATAAGTCCGACGCCTCAAAAGTCTAAATTTGCGGAATTATGAGGCGTCAAAATAATGAAACATCAGATTTATGGGCAATTTTTTTTTCAACCTCATAGTTCCGATGTCTCAAAGGTCTGATGCCTCATAAATCTGACGTCGGACCAACGAGGTGCCAGACTTAATATGAGGTGTCAGTGCGATTGGCTGTGAAACATGGAGGAGTGCGGGCCACGGGCCACGTCGCCCGAGATTCAACTTTGTTCTTAACTTGTGCCCACGGCACTGACCCTGTTAGGAAAGCTAAATCAAACAGACTACCTACACACCTCGTACACTGGTACAGTTTTTTTTAATCCAAAATAACGTCATGTGTAAGAATGATGTATGATACTTCGCTTTATAAAAAAGCATTTTTTTTACTGTAATACTTTTGAAATCTTAAAAATATTTGAATGTTTCATAAATAGTACACCATACTTGACACCAGGAATCAGTCTTGTTCCTAGTGCCATCTTCATATGCTTGTAACTAGTGTCAAATCAAATGTTGGACTTTCGAGGCATCAGATTTTTTGAGGCATTGGATCTATGCCATGGGCCGGAAAAACGTTGGAACTTTTAAATGCATTTGTCAGACTTATGAGGCGTCGGACCTATGAGGCGTCGGACTTATGAAGCATCGGAATCGTGAGGTGTCGGACTTACAAGCTGATCCCATGGGATGTCATGACATTGCACGTTGTCCATTATGTCTGGTACAGAGTCCATTTATGTGCATCTCGCACAGAGACCAGCTTACCATGTGTCACATTTAACCTGTTTTTCTTTTTTTATTAAATGTTCGCTGTTTTACAAGTGAATAAATTTTCCTGTAAAAAACAGTCCTCGGTGTGTGTCTTATTTCCCTTATTCTCATTGGTAAATAGTTAAAGCCTCATGAATATTAAATTAAGTGTATCTTGATTTCACTGTGTTAGTTTAGTTCAGTAAGTCTGCCATAAGGATAGTTATGCAGAGTGGATGTGTGTGTTGTCCAGGGAATGCATCTTTTGTTCAATGCCATGGTTAGTCAAGTGTGAACATTTTTGCCAATTTTTCTTGGGGTGTAGTCCAGTCAGTCAGGAGTCAGAGCCAGCAGAAGAAGGATTTATATTGCAGAACCTCTAAAAATGTAAAATTTCGTTTTTAACCCTGTTGGCAAAATCTGGAAAAAGAAAAGCTTGTTGAGTTAAATCAAACCCTAAGACGAGCAGATTTCTGAACTGCCTGCAGTTATTTGTCAAGGCCTCTATCCATGGCACGTAATAACTGGTTTTGAAGCGGATTTAACTAAAAAGGGTACTTGGATCCTTTTGCTGTTTCACCTGACCCATGACAATCGTCAAAAGGGGCCTATGGCTACCATTCCTTCATGGCTAAGATGGAGTGACGTACAATTGTGGATCGCTGTTGGTGTAAAGGTTTTCAGTTTTGAATAATTTGAATATTTGATTCCTTGTTTTCAAAAATGCATTCTTAAAGCAAAGGCATTTGGTATTCTCCACACTTGCATGGTCTAGCCTTGTTAATCGCATATGCAAACTTGTCACAGTGCCGATTTCAGTACCCTTAACATCGGTCTAGTTTGTTCACTCATGTGTGTCAATAACATCACAAGCTGTATACCATTGCAAAGAGGGCATTCTGCCCTTTCTACAGATATATTTCTCTTTCCCATATATAAAGTAGTTTTGCTATTAGAGTAATTTTTATCTCGGTATACTGTTTATGTGGACACCCTGTAGTTGTACTGGAGTTAAGAGACCTTGGAACTTGTCGAAAACTGTGCTGAGAAAAAAGTCTTTCTTCAAGGGGAATCAATTTAATTCAAGTTTTTAAAGGAAACAAAAATGTAGAGTATTTTTTTCCATTTATTTTATGATTGTGTACGGTATATTTCTTCAACATGTATTTGTCCGAGGGAGTCATCAAAAGTGACCATGTGACACCACGCGCCACTTATGCACACTCACGAGGTCACAAAGTCACAAGTCTCATAACCTTCTGGATTCGGTTGATTTTCTCCTTCTTATATACTCTATATAAGGAATCATACACAGATGTTGAATGTTTTTTAGCATGAGATTGAACACCATTAATTATTATGAAATGAGGAAACTGCAACAATGTTTTCACCTTTGTGATTTTGTGGTACATTTGGGGTGCCCAATGCACCCTGACTATGGACATACCATGCATGCCAGAAAGCAGTAATTGGCCGGATGTTATAGCAGGGGCATTTCAAACTCCTTGTGTCCGTCTTCCATGATTGAATGTACCATTATGCCAGAACAATGTCAAAAGGCAGTCATAAAACATAACCTATCAGGGCTTATATACATTAATGTGAGTTAAACAAAATAAACAAATTGTGGATGAATGAATATTATACATATACTTACTTTCATTTATCCTACTAAGTTTTGGGCTGATGGTATGCTCTGGGGTCATAATCACTGGAAATAGTGGTCCCACATCTTGAACAAAGTCCTTCAAAAGAATAAGTGGCAACCGATATTTATAGGTACACATCTGCAATTTTATAGTCTTCCTATTAAAAAGTAGACTGTTCCACATCCCTTTCTAGTTAACTGCATTTAAAAGTGTGCTATACAATGCTTTTCTGGGCAATTGAATGTATTCTGCCTGTGATGTGCGAGTCTGGGAAGACACTTTTTAGCTTTTCTGTTCAAATTATCAACCCAAAATTTCATCATTAAAACACCTGTGCAAAAGGGTTGCAAATGGGCCTACTGCCAGCTAACATAACTTATACAACAATGAACACACCAGTTTTAGAAAAAAAAATCTTAAGAAAGCTAAACATGTGAACTATAGAGACCTTTTGTTGCAGAAAATAATTTCAATATTAAAATTTCTGCCCAGGACAACATTGGGGCAAAAATTCACTAATGTTCAGGCTGGATAAGGTAGGACAAAAGATACCAGAGCCCAGTTGGAGACTGCAATGATCTTGCCTCGAAGGTTGTTACTTTGTGTAGCCTATCACAGAGTGCATCAGCTACATATAGGATCCTTTCACAGAAAGAACAGCTCCATGATCAAGTCTGTCATACGCAGTGCAGCCTGATTCATCATGAACAACTTGCCTAAAGAGAACAGCGTCAACGCCATGCCTAACAGACTGGCTTGGGAAACCTTCCAAAATCAAACGGCTTCCAAGTTAAACTAACGTAATGACTTATCTACCAGCTCAGTGGCATCTCTGACAATCAGCTTATAAATTCCCCTCAACTCATGCACTAGACAAGAGCTGGAAATTCCTGGTCCATTCATCAACTTTGCTTGGACTCTTTCCTAGACGAAATCCTTCCAAAAGGCCAATCATTCCGTAAGCCTCCAACTGTGAATGTGTATGCAAACTTAATCCCCTATTTGTTCGTGCACACACATACACATCCACACACACAAACATGTTTTTTGGGGCAATCGTGGACGTTCCTATTGTCCTCTTTTGTTCATACTTTAATTTCTTTGGAAGGCCTCTAATATGTTTTGTACATGTTTGGCAATCATGGACATATCGGGAATCGTGGACGGTCATTAATTCTTCTGTTTAACGTCCACGATTGTTTGGGAACATCAGTGCACCCACACGCACACATAACATCTAAGAATATAGAGAGATCATATTGAACTTGGTAATTGTACACTGCCTGCAGTGTGGCAAATATTGTTCAATGGCAGGGCCTTGAAGAGTGGTAAAGTATGAAACTGTGAGAATTATCGCACAAATATTGCAAAATGACTCAATCTTCAAGAGACAGTACTTGTGGTGTGTAGCTGCATTTGAAGTCTGCGGATAAATCTTGCCATATTTCAAAAGTCTGGATTAAAGCAAAAAACAGTATTCAGTGTTGTGTAGATGCCTTCAGACTCCCTTTGTTTCGTCTTGTGCATGGTCTCGATTACAGCACTGACAATACTGTCTATAACTGGTTAAACTGTAGTGAAAAAATTCATGCACATACCACTGTACATCATGTAGCAATTTGTGATTGACCAAAAAAAATGTTATGCACGATGTCCAAAAGATTTTAATCGGCGTGCCACGAGCCACTGCGAGCTGCTGCTGTGCCCCACAGCGTATTTTCCAGGTCATCTGTCTCCACTCTACATATGGCGCAGTGCAGTGCCCAGACCAGTCCCCAGCTCATTATTGTCAGGAAATGGAAAAATGTATAATTGTGTGGGTTCAAAATCTTATGTTTCTTATTCTGCTCCCCTCGTTCCCGGGATACTTTCCAACCTTATACAACCCAAAATGGAACTATCTGTAGTATGCAATTGTGGAGGTCATGATGTTTACCTCACTTCCTAACCCAGTCCATTGTTTTAGGGGAACTTTCCCACAGTCCTGACCAAGTATTTTTAGAAACAGAATGCCGGTTTTCATTCTTTGAGAGATTCATCAAATTGGAGGTTGCAGGTTGTTGGACCCTGGGAGAAAATCTGCTGATTAGCAGAGTTAAACAATGAACCTTCAAAGATTTGACCAATGGGGAAGCTTATATGTAAACCAAACTTTGAGGAAGGGTTGGTCAAACTTGCAAGTGACAAATCATAGTCTTGATGGAAATGTCCATCAAGAGACTATAACAGGCATTTAAGGGCCTATTTCGGGGTCAAAATTCAGTCTGCACCACCACCCAGCAGACCACTGGTCAACAGCCCGACACTCGAGTCTACACAGTAGCCATATGGGGTGAGTTGCTGTCCTTAGTAATCTACCTGTGTGTAACTTCATTTTTAAATTTATTTTGATTACTTAGTATAATAGACTGTGTTACTTCTGAAGTTGATGGACTTGTATTGTTAGTTTGTTTTTATGATCAATCACAATCATGGCATTCACATGAAGTTATTTTACAGTGTACTCTTCTCTCCATTTGTTCTGATTATCCCCTTGTTTGGCACACTTGATTCAACAATGTCCCAGTTTGTAATTAAGGATGATTGTACACCTTGTAAGGATAAATTTCTGTTCTATTATATAGCTCAAGTGGCATCTGTGTAGGAGAGAAGCCAAGTTAGCATATCCAGGTTAGCTCCAGAATTATATTGTATATTTACATTCCAAGCAGTTTCACACTCTGACTTTTGCAACTGTTTTTACATGATTTTGTATGCCAGATTGGAAAGTTAGTATATGCTCACCAACACAGATTAAGAGGTTTTACTTTTGTTCTAAGTCATTTTGATGTGTTGTGTGACAACTACCCAAAGAAAGTGTTGTGTAATTGGTCACATTCCTTAAGTGGTCCAAAAGGTTTAACAGCTGTGTTTTGGTTATAACAATAACTCAAGGCTACACACTCCAACCACTGTGTATGACCCATGACTTTTTACTACCAGTGTGTTATTTGCACCATGCAGGTTGTGTGTAGTAAGTGTATTATCTACTGTACATGTAAGTAATTGTATTATTTTCCTAATATTACAGGGGNTCCGTCGGCCTGTCGACCCATAGACCATCCAATCAGTCTGTTAACCCTATTTTATTGAGGAGAGCTTCAATAAATATTTTGTCAGTTGTAGAGTAAACAACAGAGACAGTGTCGTCGTTCGTTAATCGTAGTCGTATCAGTGAGAACCTTGAGCTTGCGGCGCAGAAACCTATCCGGCAGCCCAGCCAGATAATACGACATTAACAATCCTTGTTGTGGGTTTACTATTGTTATGTTAATGAGTAGCATGAATAAGGAAATCCCTCTCTAACGCAAGGCTTGCCGCGGTGCGCCAATGTCCATTGTCAATTTTGGCCACAGAGCAAGTCCTGTAGAAGCAAGTCCCAAGTTCTAAGCAAGGGATGGTGGGAGGGAACCCAGAAAAGTGTCTGAGTTTTTGAAATGTAAGCTGATAGAAAGTTAAGCCTGAATTTTACAGTCTGAGTACAGTCATTATCCTACGTCTAGATCCGAAAACTATTCAGTCTGCCTTCAGCTCAAATAGATCTCAAAGTCCAGTGAAATGTGTTAAGTACCATGTGAGCCGGAGACACATGTACATTGTACTACAAAACTATTTCCTAAAGGTAAATTTTTAATTTTGGCAGAGGATCGACAACATTAATGACGACACTCTATTTCAAATAAATTCTCTGAAGAGCTTTCATTAAAACAAAGACTGACAGCCAACTGACTGAATAAAATGTATATTTCTGCGAGGTAATGGGGCCAATTGCCTTTTTAAGGAGCTGCGTCTGTTAA